CCACACACACACACACACACACACACACACACACACACACACACACACACACACACACGGGAGGGGGGGGGAAACAGACAAGGCAACAGCGGTAATTCAAGTTTAAAGTCTCAAAATGCTACAACTACTGTCTCAAACTGGATGAATGTGAAGTATGTTGTTAAAGGAGGATGAAAGCGTAATTAAGGAGCACTATTGGAGTGACTTTGATGGTTATTGGACTCAGGATTAATTAATTCGGAAGCCCGCTGTATGAAGAAATTAAAGGACGGCGCAAGTGGAAACAATTCACAAAGGGATTAAACTGTTTAAAACAGATGCTCAAAGTAAACCGGATTTTGCCGATGTGTTTATGTGGATTCAAAAGTCGTAAATAATCTACAAAATGGAGGAGACCGATCTGATCGGAGCAACTGTGACAAATAATCCAACTGAAACCGGCATGGACAATGACTATGTTTTAAAAATGCGCTTATCCAGACCAGCCCGGTTTGGACACCTTACGCGCAGAAGAAACATTTCTATTAAATTATATTATTATTATAGAAGAAATTATGCATTTCTGTATTTTTATGCCTTTATTAGCTACTAACTTGAATTTCTATTCAAATGAATCAATTATTTGTTATCTTTTATTGTCATGTAGAGACAAGGCTTTCAGCGACAATCATGTATTGTGTAACAATTATAGGTTAAAAAAATATATATATATGATATTGGGCCTCAAATCATCTGAGGCCTGGAGCACCCCCTTCAATTTTTGGCGCCCCCCTCCCTCCCTCCCTGGTTGGGAACCACTGCTATATAGAATAATTTAAAAACGGATATTGGTATAATATACAAAATACTTAGTGGAGCAATGACATATTTTGCCTTACTCTTTAACTGTAATGTTGTGGGTAATTGTTGACTAATTATGGTTTTCCAGGAAGTGGATCTTTTTCCTGCAGCAGTATCACCTGCAGTTCCAATGAGGTGTGTGAAGTGAAGGGCGGGTTTCCCTCCTGTGTTCCCAAGGCCGTGGAAAGGAAGCTTGGCACCTGCTGGGCCACGGGGGATCCTCACTACCGCACCTTCGACGGGCGACACTTCGACTTCATGGGTACCTGCACATATGTTATTGCTAAAAACTGTGGAAAGGATGACCATCTCCCAGACTTTGAGGTCCTCGCCCAGAATGAGAACAGAGGAAGCCTCAGGGTGTCGTATGTTGCCGTGGTGACAGTGAAGGTTTATGGCGTCATCATCACAGTCGTTAGGTCTGAGACGGGTCGTGTGAGGGTAAGGCTTCCTATTTCTGTCAGTAAAAGATTGTTATTTTTCAAATATACATATTTTAAATATAATTTGGACTTAAATTGATGATGAATATTTGTTTAAATTATTTATGTGGTATTAATAAATTATGACTTCACACTTTAAGATATTTTCTTCTGTGCAGATTGACAACAGTTTGTGGAGTTTGCCAATAACCTTAAACAAAGACAAGCTGACGATGATTCAGAGCGGTCGCTCTGTGGTTATCGAGACTGATTTTGGCCTGACTGTCCGCTACGACTGGGAACACAATCTTGGGGTCACTCTGTCCAGCAGTTACGCCGGTAAGACTTGTGGTCTCTGTGGCAACTTCAATGATAACCCCAATGATGACTTCACCATGCCCTCCGGTACCCAGGCGGGGGGGGCTGTGGCCTTTGGGAGTAGCTGGAAGGTGCCGGTGAAAGGTGCTGTGTGCAGAGATGACTGTGTGGGTGGGTGTGAGCGCTGTGAAAACAGCCTGATGAAGATGTGGGGGGGTGACATGTTTTGTGGGCTCATCACACTGATAATAAATGGGCCATTCAGCAAATGTCATGCCGTCATTGACCCACAAGCATACCTGGAGAACTGTAAATATGATGTATGCATGGGAGGCGGCCTCCGACACTTCCTCTGCAGGACACTGGAGGCTTACACTGAAGCCTGCCAGATTGCTGGGATCCAGGTTCAAGATTGGAGGAAGATGGCACGATGTAGTAAGTAATTCTAACTTAATGGATCTTCAAATAAACAAACTGTGTTTTTTGCTTTTGCTCCTAGGATAAATCACATCTTATACTGTACGTTGTGTCTCCCTCTCAAGCTGCTAAATGTCCAGCAAACAGCCACTACGAGCTCTGCGGCAACGCCTGTCCTGCAACCTGTTCTGACCCAAATACTTCCTCCAAATGCAAACGCCCCTGTGTGGAGATCTGCACCTGTAACACAGGCTTTCTTTTGAGCGGAGGTCAGTGTGTTCCTGCTGCTAGGTGTGGTTGTAGCTATGAGGGTCGAAATATCCCTGCTGGGGAGTCATTCTGGGCTGACCAGGGCTGTCTGCGGAGGTGTAAATGCATTGCTGGAAGCAGACGCGTTGAGTGCCAGGATAAAGGCTGCAGGGCAGGGCAGCAGTGCCAGGTGGTGGGTGGCATCAGAGAGTGCCAGGCAGTCTCCCACAGCACCTGCCAGGCTACAGGCGACCCCCACTACGTGACCTTTGACAACAAGAAGTTTGACTTCCAGGGCACATGTGTGTACCAACTGGCTGCACTCTGCTCCAAGGACCGAGAGTTGGTGCCCTTTGAAGTGCTGGTGCAGAATGATCACCGGGGCCACAGGGTGGTCTCATACACAAAGTTGGTGGAGATCAAGGTGCTCTCCCTCAGCATTGTCATTACAAAGTCACACAAGGGCCTGATTATGGTAAGATCTACATAATTTGTGTATATGAAAAGTTGTTTCTAATATTTATACAAATACAAATAAACATCAGTTATGGGTAGGAACAGATTACATGTACAGTAAGCATAATTACTTAATTGGATTACAAAAAATGTACTATAATCCGCCCAGACTACATTTGAAAAACTGCAAATGTATTATAATATAATTGTAAAAATGACTTAATTACATCTTTGATTTTGTCTACAAAATATGACATAGTTTACTATGAGACCTTTTTGTAATGATATTCAATATTATTAACACATGAAAAGCACATCCCACATGTTTGAGAATACACACAGTATATCTGTAGTTTGTTTAACATATTGTGGCTGTGTCAATTTTATTAATTAATTAATCTATTTATTTATTATAATTCGCAATACTTTCAACATTTGATTTTCAAGTAATCCTAAAAGAATCAGTTTTATCAGTTCAGATTACCTCTATTAACCCTAAATTGCACTGTTTCTTTCCAGGTGAATAAGGAGTTTGTCAACCTGCCTGTCACTCTGGATGATGGACGTGTATCTGTGTTTAAGAGCGGCTGGTCTGCTGTGGTCAAAACAAACTTTGGCCTCAAAGTTTCCTTTAACTGGTATGGTGCTGTGTTTGTAACGCTGCCAAGCAACTACATGGGAGCCGTTTGCGGCCTCTGTGGCAACTACAACGGAAAACCCCAGGATGATCTGACCCCAAAGAACGGTGATAAACCTGTCCTTCCAGCAGATTTTGGCGTCAGCTGGCGAGTGGCAGAGATCCCAGGATGCGTAGACGGCTGTAAAGGGGTGTGTCCGAGTTGTGACATTACCCAGAAGGTTCAATATGAAAAAGGCGATTTCTGCGGTTTGTTGAGAGACCCCAAAGGACCGTTCCGCGACTGCCATGCCAAAGTGGACCCAGCTGGCTACTTTGAAGACTGCGTTTATGATGTTTGCTTGTATGAGGGCAGAAAGGATGTGCTGTGTCAGGCTATTACATCATACACATCTGCCTGCCAAGCTGTGGGGGCCAAGATGTACAGATGGAGACCCATTCATTACTGTGGTGAGACATGCCTTCATTTTAATGATGAAAGCCAAGTGAGCATTATTTATTGTAACAGTGTATAGCCTAACAGTAATATTGAAAACATTTTAATTTCAACTTCTTCTACACATCCTTAAATGTTTCTTCCTTTCCTGAGCCTTTATATTGCTTTGTATTTACTGCTTGTATTTTGAATATGTAATTGTACTTGTCTCTGTTAAATGATAAAGAACATTTACATTGTCTTTTATGTCGCTTGTGTACAGCGGTGAAATGTCCAGTCCACAGCCACTATGAAGTTTGCGCACCCGGCTGTCCGGCCTCTTGCCAGAGTCTGATCCCTCCGCAGGGCTGCGAGGCTCAGTGTGAGGAGGGCTGCTCCTGTGATGAAGGGTACATCCTCAGTGGAGATCGCTGTGTTCCCTTCTCACAGTGCGGCTGCGTCTACAATGACCGCTACTACCGCATCGGCCAAGTATTTTATCCCAATGGGCAGTGTCAGGAGGAGTGCAAGTGCACACAAGATGATGAGGTAATGGATGCAATGTGATTAATAATAACTTGATACCGATCAGTGTTCATTTGCAGGATGGAAATGTATTTAATACTCATTTTTCTCAACTGTTCCTTTTAGGTTGTGTGTAAGAAGTTCACATGTGGCCCTAATGAGAAGTGTAAAGTGGAGGATGGCGTGCAAAAATGTCATCCTGTTGGTAAGGGTGTGTGCCACGCCTCTGGTGACCCCCATTACCGCTCTTTTGATGGGCGAACATTCAATTTCCAGGGTACCTGCACCTATACACTCTCCAAGAGCTGCGGGCTGGAAGGCACCCACCTGGAGGCCTTCTCTGTGCAGGTGGAGAACGAGCGATGGAACAAGATTATGAACAAAATGGTGGCTGTCACCAAGCTGGTAGCTGTGGATGTCTACGGCTTCACTCTCATCATGAGGAACAACATGTTTGGAGTCCTGGTGAGAAACAACGCTGGTTCTTTTATTTGAAAAAAGAAGCTCCATATCTGAAATGCAGTTTACAGGTGGCAGATGGTTGAGAGTAAAACAAGCTTGACAAATATATTTAGACATTCTTCTCATCAGAAGTTTTGATTTTATTTAAAAAAGCACTTTCTTCTTTTAGGTAAATGGGGTGTTTAACTACCTCCCTGTGAATCTTAATGACGGAGCAGTGCTGGTCTATCAGGAAGGCTTGCGGTATGTTATTGCAACAGATTTCGGACTGATTGTCACTTATGATCTGGTCTATCACGTGACTGTCACAGTGCCTGGGAACTATCGTGGTAAGGTCTGTGGCCTGTGTGGCAACTTCAACGGTGAGCAAAAAGATGACTTCCAAATGCCGAACCATAAGCCCTCCAACAATGTGAATGTGTTTGGAAAGTCATGGAAGGTCACCATCCCTAATGTGGTGTGTGAGAATGGCTGCGAAGGGAAAAACTGTCCTGTATGTGACCCGGCTCGCAAGGCAGTGTTTTCAAAGCCCACTTACTGCGGCATTGTTACAGCCCCCAACGGCCCATTTGCAGCTTGCCACACTAAACTGGACCCACAGCCATACTTTGCTGACTGTGTGTTTGATGTGTGTGCCTCCAACGGGGATGGGAAGGTGCTTTGTAACAGCATAGCAGCCTATGCCTTCAACTGTCACATGGCAGACGTGGACGTCAAAAACTGGAGGACGCCTTCCTTCTGTCGTTAGTATAAAAATACATTCACTGTTTAGTTTTTTCTCTTATTTTCTGGAGCTATAGTGTAATTGCTGTATTTATTTAATATTTTAGCAGGTTCCTTTTCAATCCATGATTTCTCTTCCGTGTGCTAATTAATTTCAGCCATGAAATGCCAAGCCAACAGTCACTATGAGGTGTGTGCCGACGCCTGCTCTGCATCCTGTGCAGGCCTCACAGAGATTGCCCAGTGCTCCAGCAGCTGTACAGAGGGCTGTGAATGTGATGCTGGCTTCTTATTCAATGGACATGCGTGTGTACAAGAGACAGAGTGTGGCTGCTATGACAATGGAAGATCGTACAAGGTAGAAAACCTATGTCTGTTATAAAAGAGAGGCCTTTCAAAATAGAGCAATATACAATTTATAGCTTTTTAGTGCCAAAGTGGCTTGAGCAAATACCGATGGCAGCATTCATGCTGACATGGCAATTTTGCTGCATTTGCTTTTTCCCACAGTGCTGGACATGAGCCAGTCTGATCTTAAATCTGCGCACTGAGTGTTTCTCCAGAGACTTAATTAGCAGATTGTCTACATTTGTGGCAGGGTTGATAAGATGAAATAAGAATGAAATAATGTGGACTTCTCTCTTCATTTATTCTGTGAATTATTTCCCCCTGTGTAATGAACCTGCTCCATGTCTCCAGCCTGGTGAAGTGGTGTATGAAGAAGACTGTAACACAAAGTGCACCTGCAATCCAGAGACAGGCATCATCTGTGAAAAACATTCCTGCCCCCAAAGCACCAAATGCATGGTCAAGAAAGGAATCAGGGCATGCTACAACACAGGCAATAAGCACATTCTTTACATTTACTAATCTTTAACTTTATGCAAAATCATTATTTTATTTATTTTTGTTATTATCCCCTCTGTGTGAAGAGATTCTGAAAGTTTCAGGAAAAAATATTCTCTCTCTTTTTGTCCTGATCCATTTATATAAAAACCTGTCTGAAAATGAGCTGATCAGATTTTGGCCACTTTCTCATAACGATTTTTTTGGCTTGTGTAACCATTAGCCAATCACAAACCAAGGTAATACCCGCCCACCTTATCACCTGAATCTCCTCCTAGAGCACCATTGAGTTTTTTAACCAATTATCTCGCAGAGGGGCGTGGGGCGTGGCTCCTTATTTTCATCTACAGTAACAAACAGAGAATCAACACTTTTGAAACAGGGCTGAAACAGAGGAGATTATGGGATGCTGCAATGCAGGATCTGTTTGGTATTTCAGCCAAACACTTCAGACATGTTTTGTATATAACTGAGAACTATAATATATTGATAAAAGAGTATAATAGGGGACATTTAAACTGACTAATACCCTTTCAGTTTAACATTCATATTCTTACTTTGTATCTTGTGTAGATCCCTGCAAAGATGCCTGTCTCGAGTCAAAGAGAAGTGCCGTGTATGAGAAGGGTGAAGCTTGTGCAGTCCCAGCGTACACAGGCACATGCTGGGCTTTTGGGGGGATCCCCCCACTACCACACATTTGATGCTGAGACATTGACACTTTGACTGTCCCAGGCACACTGTACAGGTACGTTCAGTGCTCCCAGTACCTGGAGGGAATTGATCCAGGACATAGTTATGCACACACGAATATATCTCAATCAACCGATGAGAAAGATAAATCGTACGGTAACACGGACCAATTCGTTCTTGTCAGGAGGTTGACGTTTCTGTGTATGGGTAACAACATCACTCTCCGCAAGAACCGAGTTGGTCGGGTCACCGGTAAGAATTTTTATTCTTCTGATGCGTTTGATTGTGTGGTAATTTCGTGTGTGCATAATTTGTTGTGATCAATTCCCCTTCAGGTGGACCGGGAGCAGCTGAACGCTTCGCTGGTACACTGGGCGAGGGGACAAGGGCCGAGGTGTCCAGTGTCTCCAGCGTGGTCTCCCACTGCAGTGTTGTGAGACAGACTTTGGCTTGTCCGTCTCCCTACCGACTGGAACTGGAAGCTGGTCATCAAGCTTCCGCAGCAGCTACTAACCGCCAGTGTCTGTGGGTCTATGGTGGCAAACTTTCAAGGTAACAACGGGGATGAGCCTCCAGAATCCAGCCGGCAAAAGCTGTTCCTCTTCAGTGAAGATTGGGGCAAGAGCTGGCAAACACGCAGACAAGGACGAGAAACATACCTGCTGGGACACCCCGTGTGAGAAAAAACTCGTCCCTAGATGTGACGGCGACCAGAAAAAGCTCTATGAGTCTGGGGCTTTCCATGTGGGGGCCCTTGTAAGCCAAGACCAATAACGTGTTTAATGTGTCAATGTCATGGAAAATTGGACCCCCCAGGCCTTCAATGAACAACTGTGTGTATGATATGTGTTTGAATAAAGGGAGACAAAAAGATGCTGTGCCAGGCCTTGGCCTCATACCAGTCAGCAGTGTCGTGGGGAAGGAATAATTACTCAAGAGACTGGAGGAAAAAGTTTGGCTGCCGTGAGTATTAACGAGCTTCTCACATTTGCACATATTATTCGGAAACTTCAATCAATTATTTTAGAGATTTCATATTTGGTTTATGCCTTTTTATAATTATGTTCCTATCTAGCAATGAAGCTGTCAGCGTCACAGCCACTATGAAAATCTGTACCAGCACCCCATGCCAGCCATCCCTGCCCATTCCCTGATCAGAAGTCACCCTGCCCTGGTGCCTGTGTGGAGGCCTGTGTCCTGTGATAAGGGTCACGTCCTCCAGCGCTGGCGTCTGTGTGCCTGCTAAAAAAGTTGTGGCTGCTCCTATCAGGGCCGTTATTAACAAGCCAGGGCAAGCACTTTTGGGCTGATGAGGCATGCGGTCCGCCTATGTAGTGTGATACGACCCTGGGCATGGTGACTGCCGTGAGGCTTCCTGCTCTGCCCAGAGACGTGCACTGTAGTGGATGGAGAGCGGGCCTGCGGCCATCAGTCACGCCACCATGCACAGCCTCAGGTGACCCGCACTACCGGGACTTTTGATGGCCGCCGGTTTGACTTCCAGGGCACATGTGTTTATCAGCTGGTCGGACTGTGCTCGCAGCAGCAGGGGCTCGTGCCGTTCAAGGTGACTGTGCAGAACAACCACCGGGGAAGCAAGGCTGTGTCCTACACAAGGACTGTCACATTCTCCATGTATGGCATCACCCTCACCATCAGCAGAGAATACCCCCACAAAGTCCTGGTGAGTACGGATTTGGAGGTACGGATATTGTCAAGCATATGTGCAATTTAATAACAGATTACATTTCTTGTCACTTGTTTTCATTTGCATTTAAGAGAAAAAATAAATAGGACATGTAGTCACAGTATTAAAAATAAACACAGGACAGATACTCAGAGCCTCTTCAAATGAACAGATATTATTGCCTCTTGTCATTGTGCTAATTCTCACATGCCTCATGCTTGTCTGCATATATATTTAATTGCATATTAAAATGTTGATCCAGGCAGCCTTAATTAATCTAACATTGTAACTGCACATTAGAGTGGATTATCAAAGGCGGCAGAATTATTAAATCTATAATCTTCTAAAAATATTTCTCTCTCCCTCTTCAGCTCAATGGGCAGCTCGCTTCGTTACCATTAGATTACAATAATGAGCTGGTCGTGTTTCTTAGTGGCGGGACAGCTGTAGTGGAAACAGATGCTGGTATCACCGTGACCTTTGACTGGAGGGGCAGAGTGAGCGTTTCTCTGCCCAGCAACTACCAGAGCGCAGTCTGTGGCCTGTGCGGCAACTACAATGGCAAAGCTCAGGATGACCTGACCATGCGGAACGGCCAGACCAGCAAAAACGGAGCTGAGCTGGGGGAGAGCTGGCAGGTCGCCCTGGTGCCAGGCTGCTCATCAGTCTGCCAGGGGGCATGGTGCCAGGCCTGCTCCGAATCCCACAGGAAAAAGTACCAAGCCCAGAAATACTGTGGTATAATCGCTGATCTGGCAGGGCCTTTCAGAGATTGTCACAGTCGTGTAGACCCTGCTCCTTACCTGGAGGACTGTGTGTATGATGCCTGTCAGTACCATGGCCACCAAGGCTCAGTTTGTGATGCTGTGGGAGTCTATGTATCTGCCTGTCAGAGCCAAGGAATCCCCATCCGCTCCTGGAGAACAGATGCCTTCTGTTGTGAGTTTGAGAATCTGTTTTCATATTTTCAATCTCCTATTTATAAACAAAAAAAAATCCCTTTTTGATTCTCCCTCCTCCTTTCCCACAGTGTGTCCATCTAACAGCCATTACACCCTGTGTGCCACGGGCTGCCCTGCCACCTGTGCCAGTTTAACCTCCCTCACCACCTGCCACAGGGCCTGCTCAGAGGACTGCGAGTGTGACGAAGGCTACCCTGCAGAGTGGGGATACCTGTGTGCCCGTGAGAGACTGTGGCTGCTCCTACGATGGCCAGTACTACAGGAAAGGAGACGTTTTCTACCCCGAAACAGAGTGTGTGGAGCAATGCGTCTGTGGAGAGAACGGCGCAGTGTCTTGCCAAAAGGCCAAGTGTGGTGCAGGGGTGACCTGTAAGCTTGTAAACGGAATGAAAGGCTGCCACCCTGATGGGCAGGGCAAGTGTGTGGCATCCGGAGACCCTCATTACATTTCCTTTGATGGAAAGAGGTTTGATTTCCAGGGTACCTGTGTCTACATGTTGGCCAAGGTGTGTGACGATGACAAAGGCCGGCTGACGCCATTCAGCGTAACACAGGGGAATGAGAAGTATGGAAATGGAAAAGTGGCCGTTACCAAGTCTATTGCAGTGGCAGTCTATGGTTATGTCATTTACATCCAACAGAAAGTGCCATGGAAAGTAACTGTGAGTTTGATAACTTAATCTAAAACACATGTGGTAAAAGGTTTGCATGTTTATTTATCTCCTCCTGATCATTTTTTCCTCCTCCCTCTGCCCAGGTGGATGACGAAATCCTGAACCTTCCTCTCTACCTGGACAATGGGCGTCTCAGAGTCACTCAGGAGGGTCGCAACATAATAATCCACACAGACTTTGGACTGACAGTCCTGTATGACACTGTCTATTATGTTGAGGTGATTGTGCCTTCTACGTACCAGGGAAAGATGTGTGGTCTTTGCGGCAACTACAACAAGAACAATGGTGATGACTTCAAACTTCCCGGTGGCAGAAAAACTAACAGCGTTGATGACTTTGGGAAGTCCTGGGTGGTGGACATGCCAGGCAATGTGTGTGGGGGCTGTGGAGGCCAGTGTCCAGTATGTGAGCAGGCCAAGGCCACATTGTATGGAAAATTGGACTCCTGTGGCTTCATGAGTGCACCTAATGGTCCTTTTAAAGCCTGCCACAGTAAGATTGACCCAGCGGCATATGTGTCTAATTGCGTTTTTGATGTTTGTGCTGTGGGTGGCAACAAAGATAATCTATGCAACAGTGTCCAGGCCTACGCTTTGGCCTGCCAGAGCGAAGGAGTTCAAATCCAGCCATGGAGAAGCAGCTCCTTCTGCCGTGAGTTACACTAAACACTATTTTTGTTGTTTTATATTGCAGGTGCTCAAACAAAGTCTTACAAATGTCTTCTTCTCTTGTAGCTGCTTCCTGCCCTGCAAACAGTCACTATGAGGTGTGTGCCGACACCTGTGGTGGGACCTGTGCCAGCTTTATTTACCCGTTTACTTGTTCTGAAAGCTGCTTTGAAGGATGCCAATGTGACGCCAGCTTTGTTTTCGATGGCATGCAATGTGTTCCCTTGGACAACTGTGGATGTGTGCACAATGGCAGATATCTAACGGTAAAACTGTACTGAGATTTGACTTTGTCATACATCATAACTCCCACACACTTGAAAGTTAGTTTCCATTTTGTCATAGCAAATACACATGAACAACAGAGACAACATTCTATTCATCAACCTGGAAGATTACTTACACAATGTATGTTTCCAGGTGGGCCAAGCAGATGTGGACAAAGCCTGTATGTCCAAGTGTGTGTGCCAGGCCTCTGGTGTGGTGAAGTGTGAGAAGCTGACCTGTGCCAGTCGAGAGGTTTGTGATGTAAGAGATGGCGTAAGGGGCTGCCACGTCAAACAGGGCCACTGCAGCATCAGCCAAGTTGGCCTCCTCACCTCCTTTGATGGCATGTCTGGAGCAATAGGAGCTCAAGGGGCATTTGAAGTGGCGTCTCTGTGCGACGAGACCGACAAGATGTGGTTCCGCGTGGTTGTGGACGTCAGGGTCTGTAGCAAGGGTGCATCTCCCACTGTCGCCACCTTGTATGTGTTCTTTAAGGAAACGGTTGTCACAGTTAACAGCCAACATGTGACCTGGGTGAGAAGAGCAGGAAGGATAATAGTTCAATGTTTAACCAGAAAAGTAGTTTTGGTGTAGAACCCTTTTTTTTTTAAATCTCACTTTGTTGTTTTCCCATCCTTCATGTCATCCAGGTAAATGGCAGGAAAATGTCTCTTCCCAGCAAAGTGACGAGTGACATATCTGTCCACATCTCAGAGAAGACTGTGATCATTGAGAAGCCGTCTGCTGTACGGCTCACCTACTCACTTTCAAAGGAGGTCACAGTCATTATTGACAGTAGCCTGTCTGGTAAAATGTGCGGCGCCTGTGGCAACTACAACAACAACTCCAAAGATGATATGAGAACTGCAGATGGGAAAATCACCTCTGATGTGTCTGTTGTTGTTGGCTCCTGGAGCGCCGGGGACTTTTCTAGATGGTGAGTATTTGAAAGGCATACTGTAACATTTCCTCTGTGTAAATATAATGGGCAAAGATACATTGCTGCATTTACTCCTAGGATAATGATCTTCTTCACCCCATGCTCTCATTACATTGTTCCCCAACTCCCAACATTAACTTTAATTGTTTTAATAAGAAAACAACTTGCCTCCTTGTCTACGCTTTTAACCTTCAATTCTAGTTAGAGTGGAAGTTTTCAATCTTGAACTCTTTCTTGCCCTTTATTATGCAAACAGCAAACCTAATTTGACCACTGAAACAATCAAGCACAGATCAGCGAGAGATGGTAGGGTGCTATGACTATTCAGCCGCTTATTCTCTTAACAGCAAGAACCAAACAAGGACTCCACAGAGCCCTTTTAAAGGAATGAGAGTGTGGTTTTTAATTGCATTTGGTCCAATTTAATTAAGAAATGCCAGAGAAACCCCTATGGTAATTACTGATTAGAAAGCAGGTGAGGCTGACAGGCATGGCCATCAAAAGCTACCAAGCTTGCAATCCAATCACTGCTTGTCATCCAAGGACACTTAAGACTCATCTGGGTACAATATTAATTTGAGCCCTCGTCTATAGTTCTGTGCTCTAGCCTCAAGTCAAACCCTTAGAGAATTGAGTTTTGTGCGTCCCCCTTCCTTTTTACCTTCTACATAGTTGTCTTTTGGTTTGCATTTTCTCATCACCACCAAACAACACAACAAATGCCCTGAGTGTCTGCATAATGCCTTAAGAAATACAATGTTCTAATGTGTTGCTTGTAATCTCTGTTGTGCCCGGGTGAACCTGACTTTATTTTCTCTGGTGCCCTTCCGCTGCAATTCTTTTCTGTTTCATTTCAGTGGTCTGTAGAGAGGTTGGTTCTGCAGTGGTGGAAAGCATCTGCTATACAGGTAAAAACTGATGTTATTTCCTCTCAAAACGATGAACTGATGTTTCCTCGTGAAGGAAACAGCTATAACCCTGTGGCTTACATCCATGCTTTCTACCCCACATTGAACAGGATGAAGAATTTGAAGTCATTTGGCAAAGGTTTCTTGTTTTAAGCTGTTTTTTACTCATCATACTTCACTACTTCCTTTTGATCCATGAAATTATAGTGGTTCGTCATTTTTGCTCAATCCTGACCAACATCTCCATCTAGCGGAAGAGAAAATGATAGCATCTATTTTCCATGGAACAACCTGGAGCAACTGTCTTGTTAAACTGTCCTTGCCTTGTTTGAACATTTTTATTTTACAATGTGTTTTCTTACTGGAACAACCAATAAATACATTTCCATTACACTGTGAGTTTTGTATACTTGTCTCAATTCAAAATACATACTTGACTATGTTTTGGGAAAATTAAAGACTGATAACCACCTGGTTTCATTGTGTGTGTTCACCAGATTGAGGCAGGGCCTGCTTGCTACACAGCTATGTGTTTGTTACACGAGGAGAGGAGAATCTGGCAGCTTGGTGTGGGAGAGACCTTGGGGAGTCAGTTCTCATATAGCTGGGAGAGACCTTGGGGAGTCAGTTCTCATATAGCTGAGAGAAAACTTTATCTCACTGACAGTGAAAGAGCACTAGCCTCTAGTCTCGAGCACTAGCTGTTAGTTTCTCCACGTTGCAACAAGCTTTCTGCTTCATATGTTATATTTGGCTGTGGGGGGAAATGAGCATGATCAACAGTTCATTTAAAAATCATGTTTTACTATCTGTGCTGGCACCAATCCACATGGGAGTAATCTGCTCTGCTAAGTAGCCCTGTAGCCTACTGCAGCTCCTCGTGCTGTTTACCTCTGCACTGGGGAGCTCAGGGTACTTTAAGGAGTACTCGTGGTTTAGCAATCACACACTTTCTCTCTCTCTCCCCCCACTCTCACTCTAACTGTTATTCCCGAGGCAAGACCAAGAAGGAACATAGCTTTACTTGGTGCAAGCGAGTACTAAGCAATCTCCACAACATAATTCCTTTCCATTAGTGGCTTTTCATTTTATTTGCATGCTCCAGGATAAGGTTTTGCATACCCAATTGTATTTCTCTTGGCTGAAGTAACACGTGGAAAACTTTTCAAAGCAAAGTTCGTTTTACCGGGCGGAGAGTATTCGCATAAGAGTTTAAAGGAGGCTAATGCAAGGTAAGATTATTTAAAATGTCCAAATGTATGATGAATGAATTTCCTTGAATTTAATTGACATGAGTGTGGCTAGATGAGCGTAAACAGTTGAAAATGCAGCGTAATAATTGAAAACAATTTGTGTCACAGGTTTATTTTTTGTTTAAGACGAAAATGACATCCAACCCCCAATTTGACACAGAATACTTTCTGACTTTACCCGTGCAGCAGAACACCGCTCATGTTGTTGTTTCCACTCATTTGAACCCAAAAGACAAACGTGTTTTAGTTTACAATTGACCGCAGTATTAAGTTGATTGTGGGAACGTATTATCCATTTTAATTTTGTTTTTTGGCGGTCGCAAAATGTTACATTTTTAAAGGGTTAAAAGTTTTTCTGTCATACTGTAAACTGAGTGCAGCCAGCCAGTAACACTATCGCGTTAATTGACGAGATCAACAACGAGAACTCGAAAAGGAGTCACACTATTTAAAACCAGATTGGTTTAACTGTAGCAACAATCATTCCTTAGATTCCCAAGTTTTAATTATGAGGAGCTAATATGTGCGTTTCAATTGTGAACGCACTCATATGGGCTTGTCTATAAGGGTTATAAGCAACCCCTCTTTAATTAGAAACTGTCCATGTTAATCCCACTTTATTATAATCCATGGTAATTCATCTTTAAAGTGTTGCTCTATGGGCGTCTTTCCTGTTTTACAATTATTTCCTCTACATCGAAAACTAACAAACAAGATTATTGGATTGGTTCTTGTTAGTATAACAAACCCTGTATTTGTTTGATTAAACCTGATTGGCAGCCCTTTGTTGTTAATCCTGCTCCCAGGGTTGGAGTGTTCAATTTTCCCCACTCCAGCTCCATGTTCACACTCCAGTCATGCATGAATCCCCAGCAATGCTCTGGGCCAGGGAGGGAAACCTTGGCTCTGCCAACGTAGGCTTTGATCTTTGCATTGCAAAACATTTTATTCCATGCCTTCGATTTATTTTTGAGAGTATGAATCTAAAACTGTTTGTACCTGCATTATATTGTGTTGTATTGGAATAATGTGGCTATAAACATAACAAAACTGCAACCAGTGCTCTTTGGTCATGCAATGATCTTAAACTGTGCCAAATATTGTAACCATTCAGGAGTGGCAGTCTAGTTGTTGAGCCTTAACCTGTGAACACATGGCTGTAAGAGTATCTTGTAGAATGTCCTGGATAATATATAGACAGAAAAACAACCCCAGGAAGTTGGTGCGCTCTGTGTGAAGTAGATGACCCAGCAAAATGCATCCTCTTAACCAACCGACCAAATGCAACCCAACACCTGACTTGCTTTGCCTCGCACCCCTCAACTGCCAAGCCCCATGTACTGCGGCACTGAGCCTTAAATAGACCCTGGTCTGACCCAAGATCAGGATGCCATACTATTAATTACTATTACTAATAATTGTATGTAGCATGCACCCAAGTCACTGTTCTGGAAAACAACTAGTCCGCCCTTCACTTACCAAAACTGGCTGTTGGGTTGCTTCTGAGAGGTATTAGAGGGGAGTTGCTTAAGATTTTCACAACAGGCATCCCTCTGTTCTCAGCAAGGCAGAGGTATTTTCGTCTTAGAGCAGTCAGTGATTTACAAAGTTTATTTTTAAATCACTTTTAAACTCAACTTCCTGACACCCCGGCACTTTACCCTCATAAAGCAGCATTAATTTAGCCTGCCCAAACATTGTGATCTCATTGCCCTTTACATGATCAGTTAAAAACATGTATTACTTCTCTAATGTTTTTTTTCTTCTTACCAGTAGGTACAATGGATCTTGTGACATTGGTGGTGTTTGGATCGTGGCTGGCTCCTGCACTCGGTGAGCATCCATTTCACAAAAAGTTCAGCGATTTAAGTTTTTTCTCCTCTTTGAAACTGAGCGTTGTGCTCTTCAGTTGCTTCCCCTTTCTTTAGCTTGTGTTTTAAAGTCCCTCCACGCTAAATGAGCTGATGTCTCTGTATAACAGGATCAGCATTTGGCAGGGAGGTGATCGGTAAGTTTCCTGCCTTTAGAGTATCTGAAAATGCACGACCATTTGATTTATTACGCTTAGTTAAATAAGGCTGTTTACCATGTGCTCTTTTGGGTCAAAAGTGCATGGCATGCCTCGTCTTTTAATTAGCATTGCAGTGGTGGTGTTTCTATTATAATATCCATTTAATATTTTCCATTTTATGTCAGTGTTTTGCTTTGAGAAAAGGCTGTGTCAGAATAGAGTAAATGTTTCCTTACACGGCAGTTTGAACAATCATTTATTCACAATGCTGCCAAGTTTTCCATTGTTAATGCAGGTCCTGGTCTTTGGTTCATTTCTCTGCGCGGCTGCTTGCCATCAGTTGAACTTGATGTTAAGCAGATTTGCCTACACAAAGGGTTTTTATCCTCTCTGAGTGTCAGGTCTGTTAGTCTGTCCTTTTTTTTCTTTTAATGCTCGTCAGAATCAATGTAATAATATGCGTTTTTGCTTCACAGAATAAGTTACTGACAGTATTTACAGCCTGGAGTAAACCCAAAGTTAACTTGAGCCCTCTCATTTCCATTCAATCTAATATGGAGTTTATACAATATTATTCCGCATTATTCATGTATCATACATATTTAAAACAGCTCAAGTCCGGCTTTATTGAATCGTGTGAATCAAGGACACAAATCTTTTGGGTATCAAGTTTTAGCATATAAAGTTATGTTGATGAGCTTGGTATAAGTTCCGTCAGGCATACATCTAGTATAGAAACACTTGGTTTACTGATGATCAATTTGCTGTACATCAGTTGTTAAAGTGTATACATAAGCCAGACTACCTGACTGGCTGACATTTAAAAGTCTGTTGAACATTTTAATGAGGGCTGTAAAAAGATAAATAAATAACACATTAATGATGTGGAATGTTGCATAGCACCAGTAGAAGAATATTTGTGTAACACTCAATGTGCTGCTCTGAGGTTAAATTGTTCTCGCTTCAACACCACTGCTCATATAAACAACGTCTGCTTTCTGTCTTTATTACTACACCTCGTGAAGCTGTCTCTCTCAATTATTCTGGTTGTTCTCTTGATGAACATGAGGAAGAAACTGTGATATAGCTTGTGGCCAAGTACACTATGCTTTCTAACAAGATTCAGAAGAAGACCAGAGCATAACATGAATTCGGCCATGATGTCCAATATCTAACACATTGACAGGTCGGAGCAATCTACAGAATACACAAAAGATAAACAAAGGCATTCAAGTAGAAATATACAGTGTTTAATGTTGAGTTCTTATACCATTATGGTAATGTATGATTGAACATTTACATAAAAGACAATTACTTAGATACTCACCCTTTTTAAGGCTTCTCTGCAGAGTGAATTTACCCCACTACAATATATTTTGCCATTTGCTGACATGCACTCACACCACCATGCAAATGTATTATAAAGACTAATGAATTGTTCCCTCTTTCTTTCACAGCCTCAGCGGAAAATGCGGACAAAGGTGGGTATTATTTGAACAGAAGCTTAGAAAAGTCAAATTTAAGATAAGCTGCATACTCATTTTAGCTGGCATATAAATTGGCACTGGCCCCAAACTGGCTAATGACTAGATGGATGACTGAAGCCCTCAAAGTGCTGAATAGCTGTCATATCATGAGTGCTCTGTGAAGTGTGTCAGTGGGTAAATCTGCTTCTCATTTGTTTCCTCTCTCTGTTCTCTCCTACCAGACTATGACAGTCCTTTTGAATACGGTGAGTGTTTAGTAGATATGCCCGGCCTTTGAATGGCTAACCCCTCTACACAGGAAACATCTGGGAGCTTGAGACAAGTTTGCATTTTCCACTTGTTTTCCCAGAAGTTATGGAAAACAGTCACCCCAAGGCTAAGCTTCTGGTGTAGTCCCACTGCGGATACTTCTAATGCTGCCCATTACGTCGCAGGCCGGATTTTCAGTCCATCTAAGGCGCTAAAGGGAACAGGATGACTTTGAGTCTGCATTGAGATTTATGAATACCTACTTTTATTCATGTACTAGTTGTTATCTTTACATTTTATTGGGCAGTTTTTGGAAGTGTTCTCTATCTATATTGTGCCATTCCAACCATAGTATACCGCCCCATTGAAGAGCACTAAAGAAAAGGCTTCTAACATTGGGATCAGTACCCTAAGATATATCTCAGAATGAACAGCTAAAAGAAAAAAAACTCATATTTCTGTTTCACAAAGATATGTTTGATCTTTCCCTGAGTTTTGTCTTTATTTATTTATTTTCTTATGACCCCTCTTGTATTCCTCATAAGTAAACAATCTTTATTAAAAGTATATAGGACTTTATTTTGAGGGGTCACAATCCAAAAAGGTTGGGAACAGCTGCACTACAGAATGATTAAAGACTCTTGTCAACACATGTTATTATAGCTCATATCTATTCTCAAGGCAATGCTCGTTGCATCGCTGCAAGCTGTGCAACTCTTTCTATCGGTAAGATCTTAAACAGAAGATGATCTAAGCACTCATAGCTTTGAACACAGTTACTACTCCTTTGATTTTGTTGCAATGAATGGAAACATAGACCTTATATTTCTTATATCCAGCCTTATTGGGACAGGCAGCTCCACAGTCCAAGTTGACCATGATGTTTACAGTTTTGGTGACTGCAGCTTACAGGAATTTGTGGTGTCCCGTGAAAACTAAGGGGGCTGCAAAGTATTTCTGCAACGCTGTGTTTGCAGAAAGATGTGGTCCATTGCCTCAAAAAGCTTTAGCATTCATGGGGTTTGATATCACAGAACATTCACATGTCAGTGTGCCCTTCTACGAGCGTTACAAAGTGTTTTTTCTTCTTTCATTTCAGATTATGAGTCGCTGAGAATCGGGGGCCTTGTGTTTGCAGTGGTACTGTTCGTGCTGGGTATCGTCCTCATTGTCAGTAAGTGTTTGTCCACCGTAAGTATGCTGTAGATGTGTAGCCACTAGCCACACTGTGATTCCTTTATGTGTGAGTTTACCTCACACTCTCCCAAAACAAGTGGGCTCCTGTTTCTCTTAGAGGTCTGGACGGAGGCACACTGATGCCCCTTGCACAATCTCAGCACTCGCTCTCATGATCCGTGCAACGCAACAATTTGCTCTTTAAACCTTATCCTTTTCATCATGTGCAGTGTCCTTACCAGGTTCCTCCTCATCTGCCAGTACATGCTGTTACTGTCTGTCATAGCCCTGAAACCAAATCCAATAAATAAATCATTTGGGCCATCACACTTTGTTAGTCGAGATTGCCGTGGATTCCGCGGAGGTCATTAACTACATCGTTTTATAGTGGACAACAGTTTAATCAAAGGCCTTCATGTTACATGTTGGCTAAATCTGTCTTCTGTTTTTCAACTTAAAATACTGATTTAGCATTTTTAACTCAAAAGGTAACTCTCAAATGACGTTTGTGAATAAACTTCAGCTGCACGTGGTTTAAAAAGTTACAGATTAGGTTTATATAGTCTCTAACCACAACTGGTTGCATATACTGCTAAAATAGCAAATAAGAAGAAACATTTGATTGGAAAAACAGTCTTGATTCCATCTGCACTTGCATAACATAACATAAATAGGATAAACCCTGGAAGGATACTGTTGGCCATTTAAAACAACATGGATAGCAATAGAAACCCTTTGGCGCCTCCCAGTGTCAAAGTGAAGGAATGGAGGAGGAGTGTTTTCTTTCTTGACTCTCACAGCTGAGAATGTAGGTCACTAGCCTGGTCTAGGATTTCCCAGCAGTTTAGCCGGCCACACTAGCAGCTTACACGTCTTAGTCCAGAGTTCAGATAGCGAAAGCATGTTACTGTGAGAACACTCAGAAATCCTCAGTGGTGCAGATCATCATTTCTATATTTTAACAACTACCTACATGAAACTACTCACATGTCAAGAGCCCTTCTGTAGTCCAAGAATCGGCTTCACCTAATATTTCTTCTTTCAATATAAGACCAATACGGCCATGTCATCATCATTTCATTTTGAATTAAAATAGTACAGTATTGTGAAGACAATGACTTTACTATTATAAAGCCTTGCTGGGCTTCTATACTAATACTGGATACATTTGACATGCTTTCATTGAACTAGACACTATGCTTTTAGTTTGAAAGAAAGTGAACTTAAAGTGATAGTTTAAATGTTTTTCTGTGGGCTTGTGTGAGGTATTAGCCATAGTCTACAGTAGATAGCGGTCAGCATTCCCCCACCTTACACATAGTAATAAAGTTACTTCACAAAAGCTGCTATGCTTTACAGGGCCATCAATAAAGGGTATTTCAGCCACAGATGGGCTCACTAAAAACAGAAATCTTTGTCAGACACTGTCTATGGATATCTACCTTTTTACATCACATTTTACAAACATCCCAACTATCCCATATACATTCATAATAATCGGCATCTCCATTAATTTTCCAGACTTTAACATAGTAAAAATAGTGTTAGCTGGGTGTTATTCAACATAATGGCTCTTATGTTTTGGGCAAACTTAAACAAACTAATTTAACTGTTCACGTCAATAAAGCTGCATGTGTAAACGCTGACTGTTTTAGTTGTATACGTTATTTAAATTTGTCATGTTGTTTGTGTCGCCATTTTAAATATGTATGATTCATATTTTTGTGTTTTCCCCAAACACAGCCAAAAAATGTAGCTGTTCGAGTGACAAGCCAAGGTTAGTGATCAACAAATCAGACTCTCATCTGTAAAAACAATGGTTTTCTGTATATTAGATTAAAATCCCTTCAGCTGGACTATCTAACTTCTGATTTTCCTCAGACCGAAGGCTCCTGATGAGGAAACAGCTGTTCCAATTGGTAAATATGTTTTTATATAGTAATAATCTGAAATGCCTATTGTATTGCCTTTGTTTGAAACAATATTTTAATTAAACAATTATTTCTACAGCTCAGTAGACGCAGAGGCAAAGAGCAGTGGAGATGAGGTCAGTGTTTTATCAACAGCTTTGAGTCTATTTTTGTACAAAAGGAAGCTGAAAGATTTTTAAAAAATCAAACTCATGCTCTACCTCTTTTCCACAGTGCTACTGTCTGTCCACTAGATGGCAGCAAATACCTTGATCAAAGCTGAGGACAATCTTTCCATGAACACAAGAAGCTTGCTTTAATTTCATAATGTTACTGTGCTTGTTATATTTTCTTTATAAATGTTTTTATTATCAAAGACTGTTACTACAAAGTGTGCAAACTTTAAATGGTATCAATAGTGTGATTCTCATTTGTATTTTTTGACCTGACGATTGATGCAAAAATAATAAAACACATTTTTGAAAAGGTTCTTTTTTTTTATGCATCATTTTTTGATTTTCTTGGTCATTCCAAGACGCCCAGGGAAAACCCTCTATGCTGCACTCCTGTTTCTGCTGACGCTGCACACACTTCAGTTACACATGCAGTAGTAGCTTCCAGCAGAGTGTGTGAATGATTAATATGCTGCATTGTGCTGCACTTGGATAAGGATCTGGTTAAAACAAATACACTTAATTGTACCTGTCGCTCTATTTAGTGCTGTTTTATTGTCAGATTTTCATCCATATTGAATCTGGCCGCCTCTACGGATGTAAAAGCTGCATTATGCAGGCTATTTCTCCTGGTGTTGCAGGAAGGGGACTGCACTGCATAACACATGGGAGAGAAACTGGGGCATTTTGAGCAAGCAAGCAACATTTCTATGTATTGGGAAGGCAGTATAATTAAGAGACTGGTGGGATTATTAGAGCAAAGCCACGTCATAGACAAATTAACAGCAACCCTTACATTTCAGATATATATATATTGCACATTTCTATTTATTTAGAATGTTGGATACATGTGCTTCCCACTGCCTTTCGTTGTAGTCCGCATCCTGATAGATTCCCCCCACCCCCCACCCCCCCTCGTTGGTAGAACTCCACCCTTATCGATGTGATGCAGGGCTGTGCCCACCAGGGGGCCCCTCCCTCGCTCACAGAGGCTCTGAAGCAGTTCTGCACGCTGTCCTGTCCTGCTACACCTCATTTCATATCCAACCTGAAACAGCAACCCAGCAACCTGCAACATATCTGCAAGACGGAGCTCTTCCACATCTCCTGCAGCCATGGCCACCACAGGTTTAATTGTTTTCTTCACTCTTTTAGGACATTTAAAGAATGTATAACAGCTGTGAGCTATACTAATTGCCTTTGTTGAACAACATTGACTTGTTTGGTTCCTATAGGTGTGATCATTTTGTGATATTGTAATTTTATTTATCTATTTTTACTTTACTTTAACGTTGTAGTAATTTGCCTGCTGCATTGTTGTTTCAGGCCCAAGAGCCAATTTGCTGCTGATAGATCAGTGTTTTGACACATTTAAATACATTTTAGTTGTAATTCAAAAATCCTCTGCTAATAAATTACTAATACATTTGACTAAATATGTTTATCAATTGTGTCTCTTAAACTGAGGAGTCTGTTTGGGCAAAGAGAAAAGGCTGAAAGCAATGCAGACTGCCAGCTCATCCACAGGGGAGTGAGGGTTCAGCAACATGCAAGCCGCATTATTGACGCCCAGATATTCAATTTGGCACAGGCTGTAGTCTGGAAACACGCTTATACTAGCAAAGAAAATGATTTGTCCTGGTTAAAACTAGATATCTTTGTATTACAAATTAAACAGCAATCATTTCTGGAGGCTTCTTAAACTCTAAATCACCTTCCAAACACTACTTCTACATTCCAAGCTCCTTTTTTCCTCTGCTGCTGTAATGATACCGGGGGTATCCTGCTGCTGGCCTGTAACCCACTATTTTTCCATGGTGCATCTTTTTTTCTGCTGAGCAAAGATGCTGCATTGAGCTCCTCTCAGGGAAAAAAAAATCCTCCTGAGGAGTTGTGGAGCCAAGGCTGCAGCTCTGAGGAACTGCAGACCTCTCTGTGCATGGTGCTGAACTCAACACTATTCTCTCCTACAACTGATCCTTCTCTTTCCTTTGCAGAAACACTGTTTCCAGACCGAAGTGACTTTGAATATGGTAAGATTTAAGATCTATCAACATCCAGTTAAACATATCACATTCTGTACTTTTTTGCTACATGTTATTTACCATGTTACATGTTCGTCATAAAGTGCAATAACTCTTCCCTTGTAGATTATGAGACTTTGTGTACCACGGGGGTCATCCTTGCCGTCATCATGTTTGTCGCTGGCATTTTAATAGCCCTCAGTAAGTTAAAACGTTCAATTATCGCTTTAATAAAGAGGCTTTCTCATATATGCATAAGCACATTTACACTGTTACTAATCTATCATTCCTCAAACAGGTAAAAAATTCACAAATTGTGTAAAACCCTCATCCAAGTAAGAAATGTGCAAGGCTCAGTGGATGATTCGCCTGTGCATGTTGTATGCATTTGACTCAAATGGGAAAACCCCACCAATGTTTAAAAGAAACCTTTACAGTATTGTTTTTTGACTAAAAATGAGTTTTCCACAGCTTTTCCTATCCCTGCTCTGGTTGCCTCTTCTAACAAAAAAAAAAACCCTTTCCTTTTCTGCATACCAACCTCAAAGCACACTTCCAACACATTAAAGAGTTTTTACCCTGTATGACAAATCAGATGTAGGTAGTGCTTTGATGACGTCCTTATCTCCGTGCTTGCTCTTATAACCACTCTCCTTGTGTTGGTAGTGAGTAGGCAGTGTGTATTGATCTGATGTAATCTTAACGCATGAAGCTTGTATGGCAACAGGAGAAGAAAGACGAGTGCTGCTGTTTGAACGGAAAACAAAGATCTGCATTTTGGCCCAAAGACACACCTCAGTTAGAACCCTGTGGCTTCAACTTGTGTTGCCATGATAAAGTTGTGGCCACAGTTTTAATCTTTATATCATAATCACTAATCTTGATGTATTAAAACAATGCAAAGGTTTACTAAGTTCCTAATTTTTAATTGCAGTTCCAACTCCTCTGCTACCCCGGTTCCAAAGACAGAGGGTAAGTTCACTTTTCTCCTCAGGATCATTTTATACTCGATAATGCAGACTTTCACTCTGCAACTCACTCTGATTTGTTACCTTTTCTTGTGCAGTGCCTCCTCAAACTGTATAGAAACTGCAGTGTATACTTGGAAGGGAGGAAGTCGTCACAGGAACCATGCCACCGAAGACGCACAAAAACTGTTATGGCTAATGTACCTCTGCCAGCTGGATGGGAAATAAACAGGGTTTTACAACACATCGTAGCCTGGGTCCCTCTTGTCTCCCTCTGAAGTTTGTTGAAAGTCTTACAATAAGTTAGCAACATTTCTATCCAAATAATACTTTGAATCAAACAAATGCAAAACAAATGTCTCTATTCCTCACAACAGTCTGTAAAACAATAAAATTAAGAGCATGATTAAATATTTATAGACAAAATCTCGAGCACGAAACATGGATTTGCATGCAGTGATAAATTGTTACAATTGTCTTTTGCCTTTTTTTTCTGTTTCCAATCACTTTTTAGCATTACAGAATAATGAAGAGACCCACACATGGCCAAATATAACATGCTAAAAGGAAATATCTAGCATAGTATATTAATAGTATTTTATTTGTTTTATTAGTTGCAATTCCTTCTTTTTAACTCTAAAGCAAAAATTACAATTTTACCTGTAATGCTGGAAAAAACAAGACCACTGTTTGAAATAAAGCTCTCCTCTACTCGACATAATTGTATCATTGTCTTTAATAATCATGCTTGAAATGATCATGAGTGATGTAAATATGATGTTGATATCAGAAAATGTTATTATCATAATGTCATAATAATCATCATTTATCTTTACAGGGATCTAGTTACAGTCAAAAACAAACCTTCACCTTTGACGTGTAAAACTGGTGAAAATGAAAATTGGGCCTGAAGATAAATCCTCTGGTGGGATTGTGTATTTTCAATCCTTCTAATTTCAATAGATAAATATAAATGATAATATTCGAATGGTGCCCTGAATATCAAAACATTTACATGGAATTTTAAATACAGCTGTTCTACTTTATTCATGACTCATTGCCAAAATGTACAGTTAGTCACCGCACTTACTCATGTAATATCTCTGTCAAAAGAACATTCTGTGTCACAATCAGTTTCAGATACAATAGTTTTACACAGTCAAGTTTATTTTCCCACAAAGAAAATTTTTACTTGATATTACGCACGTAGGTATGATGCATACAGAAAAAAATTTAAATGATGTGATAGCTACTTGTCATTTCTTTAACATACATATTCTTAACATAAGCACACATGCTGACTGAAATAAGAACCATCACTCAGTTTATCAATATGAAAACGTATCATGATGGGGGATTTTGATGAGAATCAGAGGGGTTTCAGGGACATTATCCCTGAGATCATAAAAACGATTTCATAGAAATCAACGTTTGACTGGGAGTTTAGCCTGGAAGAGAAATGAATGTTACTCCACCTTCCTCATTCTGCTGTCTAAAGATAACTAATTATTTTCATTGCCGCCACTAAAAGACTTTCATTTCAAATAGCTAAACTATCAATTTGATCAAAAATAAATACACAATTTTTCAATCAGTCAAATATTTAAATACTAACATTTTATGAAAATATATCAATGGAGGATATAATAGTTTGCAATGAAACGCTGCACCTACACAGAACACTTTGCCCTATATGTAGAACATATATCTACATATACAAACTTTAAGCATTTAAATAATCCAATGTGAATTATATCTAAAGATTAATATCCCAAACTAGTTTGTTAACAGTATATCGGCCAGACACTCCCAAAGCAACTTAATAATAAACTTTAAATCCCCTTCTTAACAGAGGTAACTTCTCATTCCCTCCAAAGGAGGATCACATGTTTTTCTTATCATTCCTGGTCCTGCAAGGACACAATGCGTCGACGAGACGAAGCACTTCGTTTCTTCAGCATGAGCTTGAGCTAAAGATGAAAAGATAGATTAGGATGGTATTGAATTGAAACAGCAGGACTGAACTGTATGCTCTTTGGCTGCCTGTTAGAGGAGGGGCCGCTCACGTTCTCTCCCCTGGGCCCGATCTGCAGCAGGTGGGCTGGCTGGTCGTTCTCCAGGTTGCGGATGCTGGGATCAGCTCCTCTGCGCAGCAGCAGCTGCAGAATATCCTCCTGGTGGGGGTTACCATGGAGACCAGCTGCCATGTGTAGTGCTGTGTGGCCATGCGCCTGTGTCGTAAAAGGACAGTATGCGGCATGAATCAGACTGTTTGTACTCGGCTATGTACACAATCTTTGTTTGGACTTTTTTCATAAACACACAAACACATATTTAAATACCCAGTTTAAATGAGTTTGGTGTCTGTTTGGGACTCACTTTCAAGTTGACAAAGTCTTTCATGTTTGGCAGGGAAATCCTCAGCAGATAAGTCACCAGATCAATGTTTCCCTCCTTTACAGCCAAGTGCAGCACAGTCTTGTTGCTTTTGATTTCCTGGAAATGCAGAATTGAACGTGATGTAAAAAAACAACACATGATTAATACACAAGTCACACTTTGACATTTAGTTGTCAAACAAGTAAGAGAAAACAAAAGTGAGAGCAGGGGGAATATTTAGTACTATGGCATAATCATGGTGAGATAAACTTTTGCACTTCCCCTTTGAAACGTTCACACTGACTGAAGGTCAGGGTTTGACATATTGGACATGTTTCTGTACCTTGTCGCTAACTTATCCATTCATTCGTCTATTGTGACAGATCTATAGATCTGTGAGATTCAGAAAAAGGAGAGCTGTAAACGCACCTGGCTGAGCAGGGAAGCCCCTGCCTCGAGGAGCATCTTCACACAGGAGAGTTTCTCATCAGCCACGGTCTGAAGACCAACATCTACCAGCCCGATGCTTGGGAATGCCTTCACAGAGGCACTGTGAGAAATGGCTGCGCAGTGCAGAGGAGTCATACCTGAGGCAGAGAAAAAGGCGCATGTTTGAATTAAGGCCCTAATGATATTCACTTTGGAAAACGTGGTCAAACTACAGTATAATGTATGGCTAAGGTTACAAAACATTGCATTGTAACAGCATTAACTTACCATCAAAATTGCGAGCCTCCAGGTTCACAGACGGCCTGCTTGACAGAATCGCCTGTAAGAAACATTAAGGTCAGCTCGGGAAAGCTCCGTTTTCTAAAGTTCTGTGATGCAAACGTAATGCTGTACAGTTGCTGCTCTACCTGTAGAACCCCAGGTAAACCGTAGTGGGCAGCCAGGTGAAGGGCAGTCTGTCCTTTGACATCACATGCATTGATGTCCGATCCAAATGAGAGCAGATCTTGCACGATCTCTGGCTGGTTGGCCGTCACCGCCACCAGTAAAGCAGTCTGCACAAACACATTCAACATGCAACTTTAGGAATAATCATCCTGTGCTAATATGTGTAATTTAACTGAATTGTGTCAAAAAGGGTGTAAACTTTGTAATATTTAGTGTTCCTACCTTTCCCTTGTGCTCTTTGGCATCGAGCCTGCCTACATCCCTCAGCCTCTCTGCAGCAGCATAGGCACACTCCCTGAGCCCCTTGGCAGTGTAGATGTGCAGGATGCTGACAGAACAAGAGCACACAGTGAATTAGATTTAAATCAGGCTGGAACATCGTGGTAATCCCCGCAACCAATTTCACACTATTCCCTTTCACAGTTGATTTGTCTCTACATTTGATCTGAGTTTCTAATAATCGAGCATGAGCGGCTGACTCATTGACATCTTTTGGTTTCCTTAATCTTTCTAGGATTACTGAGCAGCACATGTGGTACTTTTAGCTTCTAAACTCTGGGTCTCACCAGAAGACAAACAGAAACATATATAAACAACATAACTCATTCCCTATGATCACTCACGTGTCTCCGTCCTCATCCTGCCCTGTAGCTCTGCTGTAGTCCATCGCGTTGAAAAGCATCCGGGCCTCTTCCAGCTTGACGGGGTCTATCGCCGGACCAAAACTCAGCTGCGTCGTCTGAGGAAGACCCAGGACTGACCAAGACGCCGCCATACTGGGATCTGCCAATGTCATCTGGTTCTCCTGCTCAGAAGAATGCAAGTCATAAAGCTCAACCCATTATAAAGGTATGACACAGACACAGCTTGTTAATAGAAAGCCCATGACAAACAGATTTCTTACATATGTCTGGGGCATTGTATCTATAAATCCCTGGAGCTGCTGCTGGGTGCCATATTCGTGTGCCGCTGGGAGGCTGTAGGCGGAAGTGTAGCTGGGTCCATGCTGGCTGGGGTAAAAATGGACGGAAGACTCTGGTGCCGGAGTCCATGGATAACTCACCTCCATGTCCGAGTAGCTGCTTGATGCACCTAGAAAACAGGGGACTCAGTCAGTAATAGTTCAACTTGGCATAACATGAAAATGAAAGAAACAAGGCTGGTGATATTTTACTTTTTTGTTCCTGTGAAAGAATCCCCAAAACAGACCAAAACAACTCTTCCCTGTCTTTGGCACTCAAACCCATTACATATTTACAATAAACAGGTCACAAATATATACTTATGTTTACAAATTATTCCTTAATCCCTAAAAATGTGTATTGGCTCGGAGTAGTTCAGGTAGACTTGCTTCAAAATTAACTTAAGTGCCCACGTAGCAAAGAAATGTCATTTAGAGCAGCCGTCAGACTCATTAAGGTGTTTTTGGGGTTTTTTCTTACCTGAACAAGGAAATGATTCTGCTAGAGACAACTGAAAAAGAAAGAAGGAGATGTAATTCAAAGCATCACATCTGCATGTCATTATAAGTGAGCTGAGCATCCTACTCACTGTCGCAGTGGTTGGGGGAGCAGCAGTTGTGCTGGCCGTAGAGCAGGGGGGGGGCACAGACGATGTCTCTCGCCTTCTCTTCTGCTCCAAGAGTTTCTTCACTGTGGGCAGAGTGCAACACGGCTTCTCATTTGGCGCTGAAAAAGAAAAAGTATAGAATATTTTTGTCATATTTTGCTCACATACGATATCATAGAACAAAAGCTTGAACATTAACAGTTTTCTTACATTATCCATCATCTGCTGCTGCTATTTTTTCGATTATCCTGATGGTCTATATAATGTCATAACATTAACCGAAATAACTAGTTTGGTTTGTTTTAGTTCGGAAATGATTAGAATCCCATATTTATAACCAACAAATGATGTTGTTTTTTTGGTTGCTTTAAGAACAAAAGCTGAAGCTGAGGCAATAATTAAACAAATTCAATATATAAAAATATATAAGAAATAAAATGGCATTAAACCAAATTCTAAAAAGATAGGCTGACAAATATGAGACAATAGAAATATTAGATATTTATTATGTTGCAAGCTTATATTTAAAGTAATGCAGGTCTGAAGAAATGCTTAGTTTGTTTTTATATTGCCTGCTCAGTTTCTCCATGAGGTAATTTCTGCTCCTCTATATCATGTCCATTATATATGAGTATGTTTCCCCTGCTGATAACAAAAAAGTATAATTTCCATCTAACAGGTGAGTAAAACAGGAACAAAATATTACAAAACAGAGCACAGATGTTTCCAGCTGACATGGTGTGACCGTACAGGTTATTCTGTTTCCTCGACAGCTTCTCACCACACGTGAAAGATAAAGTGATATTTCCGCCCTGTGTGTGGAACTGGAGATGAGATAAAGCTCTGAGAAACGTCCTCCTTTAGGAAAACAGAAAAACCAGCAAAACCAGACAGATTCATCAGAAAACCTTGAGCATGGGATTACCACTGCTTATTTTCTATGACATGTTCCTGTCTCGCTCCGTTACGCTGACAGAACCACATCTTCCTGCCTTTGGTTTGTCACAGGCACGTTACCCACACACGAGACGTCGCCTTGTGCTTTCTAATGCATCTACGTGTCTTAGAGGAAGAAGAAGAAGAAGAAGAAGAAGAGAAGAGAAGACATGTTCTTTTATCATTTCTCTTGTGAATGTTGACTACACAGGGACAAGACTGCTCTATTCCCAAAGGCAAATACAAAGAGGGTTGACTTCCTTAAACAAATATGCAAATTCCACCAGCAAGAGAGAAGTGTGAGTTCAGATTTCTGTCAGTTTATCACGCCTTCTCTATCTATGTCTTTCTCTCAAAATCCACACTTCTACTTTCAACTGTCCTAAACAAAAGGTCTTTGAGCGTCTACCTGCCCCCACCGCACCTTAAAGGTCACTTAATCATCAGAAAGTACATTTCAGTGACACCAAGTTTCATGTTCAGAAGGTGCTACTATAGGTAACTCAACCTGACTCATTTGATCTTTACACCTAAATGCAACCTGTGGCCTTTTTAAAGATGATGTAATGCTGCAACATGCAACTACACATGTGTGTCAAACAGTAAATACCAGCTGATAGAACTAAGAGAGAAACTAGATGATAGTGGCTTCTAATGCTTTCTCGAAACGAGAAAACACACATATGCATGTTGGTTACTGCTCACACACTGCATTGGGCTACTCTGTGCTATATTCAAATAAGAGCACTGGAAACCCCTGGACATTGACTCATGTGCGTGGGAGGTTGGGGATTCCGACGACCTTTCTCTTTTGGCTCGCATTAGAGTGAAACAGAGCAGCACAGTGCCAATTTCCTCATTTTTTGGTTAAACAAAACTCTGTAAGCATTTCAAAATAATGTGATCAGTCAGGCCTGTGCGAAAGAGGGCACGATCAAAGAAAGTTGAGCTGTTACGTCACACATTTTGCTTGTATGGCAATAATTTAAAGGGGAAATGAAACAAGCCTGCAGGGGTGGGGGTGTATTAGGGTTTCCCCAAATGATGTCTGGACTCTTGGATTCTCCAGAATCAAGCTGTCATTCAAAGTAAACTGAGAGAAAGGCTGAGGGTATCACTCAGCTGCACTCATCAATAAATATATATCTAATATAAAATAGATATTGGCTATGAAACACAGTCTCACTTTAAAACACAGTTAAAGAGGTCAGTCACATTTAACATCCAAACTCCCAAATAATGTGAAATGAAATATATGTGTTGATGTTCGAGATATGGATGTGTTATGTTAGGCTTTAAATATAATCAAGGTTTAAATTACTTTTCATTGAAATGCTGCCAAAAACACAATAACAAATTAATAAAAACTAAACATATTAAAGTGTATGTTGTCCAGAAAACTTAATAATAGTTAAATTAAACATTCAAACATTCAACATTAAAGTATAAAGCTGCACTCAGTGAAAATAATAATAAAACCAGTGATAAAATGTGTGTTTTGACACTGATTAACAAAATGAAAGTACTTACATTTATCAAAGTGCATGTCAGAAACGGTTTAGCCTTGAATCGTTAACAGGTGGTCTTCTCTGTCACCAGTCTGTTGAATGATGATTGACAGCGCCCGGGAGATCTGTGATGTTCTGTGATGAGGTCTGCGGGCTTGTTGTTTTATCGCTGCCTGATGTACACACAGAGCACGTTGTTTCCCATCGCCGCCCCCAGCTGCAAGGCACGCCCCTCTGCAAAGGGGAAGCAACACTCTGTTATGTCAGCCAGAGTACAAACATGAAATATGATGAACACTTATTAACAAGAACTGCATTAGTTCTTATTAACAGAAAGAAACAGAAAATATCAATCATCAATTTTGAACCATGTTGAAAGTAGTAATATGATCATTTTATTAAAAATAATGAATACTATAATGTGTAATATTTGAAAGCACAGATTTTTATTTTTTTTTATCAAATGAAAAAGCACCTATTATGCAGAATGGCTCCCATCTATAGGTTTCTATTTTCATAAGGGTAGTGAGTGACACATACTTATACTACAAGTCAGGGCCGTCCCTCCCTACAGGCCGATCATGGAGACTGCGTGGGGCCTCATCTTGCGGATGGGGCCTCATCTTTCGGAGGGTGCCTCAACTGAGCCGAAAATGCGGATGAGGACCTCATCATATAACTTTGCGTGGGGCCTCATATTGGCCAGGGACGGCCCTGCTACAAGCGTTAGATGTTCATGTTGAAGCTGGTTCAGGCTAATATACTTCAACAAATGCATTGGTTTGATTTACATTATTGCATCCTATCGTAAAAACATATTCTCTTAGTTTAGTTAGTTAGTTTAAAGGTTACATAGAAAAAAGTAGGGTGAGCAGAATATGTTTTAGATAACGGTAACGTGTGAGGACATGTTCTAAGATTTCGGAGATTTTTATTTATTTTTATTTAACAAAAAATCTTTACATTTTGACTCCTTCTTGCAGCCTTAGATTAGTTTGTTTCAAAGGCAAATCATTGGACATTTATATATACAGTATATATCATTTTGTATTAACATTATGAAACTGGAAAGAAATGAGTGAGTTAGACTTGAGTGACTTAATTACAAGTAACATTTCTTTACAAAGGTGTTAGCATGAAAATATAGACTACTAAAAACACAAAAAGTAAAGTCTTAATTTTGGAGAAACCTTGATTTAAGGATTGTGACTATTGAAACATTATTGGAACTTCAGTTTATCATTTTATTCCCCAAAGATGGTACATTTGGTTTGAATTACTTTTACTTTAAACTGCTGGGTAATATAACTTTCAATAACATACCATCATTTTGATTTCCTACAAACATTATGAATGTAAATTGGTGAATTGATCTGTAGAGAATGTAAAAATGTTCATATTCTCCACATTTCTAAAATTCTCCCTATGACACATTCAGGGTTGCTGCTTTTACAATCATTCCATCAGATTTATTCTTAGCTTAGCTTGAAACAATATGTAACTTGTTTTTTTCGTGTTCAGTATTTATTATGGAGGTTTGTGTCTCTGTGTGGATTTATAAATATGTGTTCATAAAGTATCTGCGATACATTACGGTGTATTGTACATTTCTATATAATATCTCCATTAATGAACACTATTTATCGTTTACATTGTTTCTTTCCCCAATTTAGCCTGCAATATTTAGAATTGCGGATAAAATTAAGAAAACAGTTTGTGACATTTGTTTTAGTTTCAAAGGCATCGATCTTTGAAGTGATACAGGTTTCACAGCTCCATCTACTGTCACAAAGTGTAAGATCCAATCTACTACAAGACAGAAACACTGATGAGCTGAAATGAAACTAATGACAACCACAGAGAGGGTCTACATTTTTAAGTTGAATCAACAGAATCAAATCATGAAAACAAAGGTTGACTGCCCCCTTGAGGATGATCCGGGTGACAGGCTATCAGGCTGACTCAGGATGGATTTAATTGAGGCAGTGTTTGATAAAAGCATTGTAAAAGCATGAATGAAAATCGGATGGCATTTAAACATTACACATTCTTTAACGCCTTAATGTCGTAATGATTTCTCTACCAATGATTTAGGATCTTTGTAAAGTTAAAACTTTTACGTAGATTTGTTGATATTCTAAACTCACATGGCATTAATAGACATGCAGTTTGTGTACATCTGTTTACTGTGTGGTTTAGTTTAATACTGAATATACTTGTGTTACAATTGATGTTGCCTCATGGTAAGTGTAATGTCTATAACTTCTAGTATTGTAACATAATTAACTATATTATTTAAACTAATACTGTACTTAAGTTTTATTTGGAGATATTTGTACTTTGATTGAATAATTCCTCCTATATTTCATACTACCAGCCAACGTTGTACTTTTTACTCAAATGCATTTTATTTTACGCTTTATTTTCTAATTACTTTGTGGGGTAAGGTTATAAATTCTAATTATAAATGAACTAATGCGAGAAAACTACCACCTGCAACATTTACGTGACAAACATATATATTTATCATTAATTTATATCCAGTGAGGTAATAAAATTGACTCTGAAATTGATCAATCTACTGCATATTCATACTTTTATTAGTTTTAATTTTTTAATTTTAGATTGATGTTTACACTTTCGTACCTTAATTACTTACTTATGACACAGTATAGAGTATATTTTTCAACAACATGTGCATTTAGTACTTTATTTTATTTATTCTGTGTGTGAGTGTAAAGTCAAAGATACACTTCTTTGGGATATTCAAGTGTGTTATATTCTGTTATAATGGCTCTTTCCCCATCAGATCATGCAACCTGTATTGAGTTCAAACAGACACAAACAGGCAGTGTTTCGGCACCCCAGAGGAAAGAAAGTGATCTGACGTCAGCCGTCAAAAGTGAAAAGTAATGGGAAACAAGAATCACATCATCTTTTGGATTCCATGCAGCAGATCAGCCCAACGAGAACAGGTAAGAGAATCTTAAATCACGGCGAGTCCCCCTTCCTCATCCAAAACTTTTAGCCATTCAATATCTGTCAAGTCTAATCAAAATGGTTTTCTATGTAGTTTGAGATTAAAGAAGCAACCAGAATCTCTGGGTGGAAAACTTTATTTTTTATACAACTGTGAGTATGTATTCCAAATTTATCATAAAACAGAGAGCTTAGTCTATCTATATTTAAGTGATTTTAAGAGAGCTCATTCAAGAATTAAATGATTTTCTATTGTCTTTTTTTTCGTTTCTGTGAAATGCCTACGCAGAAGTGTTTGACTCATTCGTATACAGCAGTCGTTCATTTATTAGTGCAAAAAATTAAATTAAATAGTGTCTCAACCGGTTTAGGTGATATAGGCTACTGTAGCTTTGACACTTGACACTGAAATCACAAACAACCATATGTGAAGAATATGAAATGATCGTGTTTATTAAATGCATTTGTATCTTATTGAAGTATGTAACACACAACAAAGTTTGTTCTCCTTTTGTCTTTCAGAAATCCAAAACTGAGTCGACATACAATGGCGTACAACTTTATCATTTTCCTGTTTTTTCTGTGCAGTAAGTACATGTCTTTTCTCTCTCACATGCACTCAGAAATTAAAGTGGTCTTGCACAGGAAAATGAAACCGCAAACATGTTTGCACATCGGAAACTTCCGTGAACTGGCAGAGGTGTTGCCGTGTGCAAAAACAAAAATGCAAAATCTTTGGTGCTTCATATCTCTGTTTCCTTTCCTTCCTGTAAGACCTGGCTGTGGCGCTCACTGGTATGTACAACACAACGCAACTCGTAAATTACATTTGTATGAAACTTGTCATTTAATAAAACAAGGAAAACACAAATATAAAGCTAGACAACAACACCTGGTGAATCATTTTTTTCCATTCAGTCTGGGCCTACATAAGTCTTCCATCCCACTCTTTTCTGTCGGTCTGTGTGTGTGCTTTTGTGTGTGTGCTTTTGTGTGTGTGTGTGTGTGTGTGTGTGTGTGTGTGTGTGTGTGTGTGTGTGTGTGTGTGTGTGTGTGTGTGTGTGTGTGTGTGTGTGTGTGTGTGTGTGTGTAGACGACGACGACGACGACGA